ATAGCCAGCAGGCCAAATCCAGCCTACAATGTATTTTCATAAATATAGTTTTAATGGAACACAGCCATGCTCAATCACTTATGTACTGTATTTCGAGCTGAAAAATTGCAGCAGAGACCATATGGCCCACAAAGCCTAAAATATTTACTGTTTGGTCTTTTACAGAAAAAAAATTGCCAATTCCTACTCTAGACAAGCAATCCACAAAAGGAATAAAATCTGTTCAGGACTCACCTGAGGTGTTGTCTTTTTGTATTGATCACCTCCATCTATCACATCCCTCATGATTTTTCCCTTAAGAAATTCATACTCCTCTGGACTCAAGTGAATAGACTCCATGGTTTTTCCACAGCCCGAACACTGACCACTGTAATTACAACAGTTTGTATTAAATGGTATCCTGGAAAAAAATTTTTCCTAAAATGAATAATCCTAGGACAAGAGGAAATTGAAGAGTAATGAAAAAAGAACATTATAATCTTTGTGATCATCACATGCATCCAATTTTTTATAAACCTGATAATAACACACATTAGATGTGCCAGAAAAACCTGAAAAAGTAGACTGCTGGGCACCCAGATTAAAGTTTTTAAAGTCATTCTCAAAACACAACTGGGTTCCAAATCTGTAGAGGAAAATATCTCCGGGGCTTTACACAAGGCTCATACCACTTTATGGGAAAAACATTTTGAGCACTGGAAATTCTCCATATTCCAAATATGGCTTTTTTTCTTAGGTACTCTCTTAATTATTCTATCTCTAATGTATTCTTAAAAATTTGTTGATCAGTAGCAACAAAACCTACTAAACTCACATCAAGAAAGTTAAAATTAAATTTTGGTCTTTACCTTTCCTTGATTGTTGTGAACTGTCCTTTCCATTGTTCTCCAGGAGCACTACAAAAAAAGATTGCAAAACTAGATCAGTAGGAGGTCAGATTCCTACAGAACCAAAAGATAAGCATTTCATTTAGAAACTCAGCAGACAAGAGCTCTGAAAAGTTCAGGATACTTCCTTACAATGGTTTAATCAGAAGAGTGGGTGATACACTGTGAGGGGGCTAAGGAAATAATGGTACCCTACTCTGGACCTCCTCCTTCCTTCACTTCTCCTTTGGTCATCCAACCTTTATCTTTATTTTTTTTTTTAAGATTTTATTTATTTATTTATTTGACAGACAGAGACCCCAAGTAGGCAGAGAGGCAGGCAGCAGGGGTGGCAGCAGACTCCCCACTGAGCAGAGAGTCTGATGTGGAGCTTGATCCCAGGCCCCTGAGATCATGACCTGAGCCGAAGGCAGAGGCTTAACCCACTGAGCCACCCAGGTGCCCCAACCTTCATCTTTGTATCTAAGTCTGCCTTCAGGGGACCCAGTAGCTGACATTAATAGTGTAACCTATAAATCAGACTCAACTCTAACCTTCTCCATTGAGCTACAAGAGACTGTTTCTCCCCAAAGTAATTTCTTCCCTTATACTATCTTCTTATGTACTACTATAAACTGTCAAGAATTATATTCCCAATTAGGTTGTGAATCCCATCTTAATAGAACTTCTATCACCAAATGCCCACAGTGCCTAGCCAAATGGAGGCATTCAAAACTACTTCATTTATTTGCTCAAATTATCCTTTCCTTCCTCTTACTTATACTACTGTCAGCTTCTACTGATTTGATTGCCTTCTCTCCTTCCCTAGTTAAATCAAGATCTCAACTCTCATTCAAACCTATAATTGCCTCCAAATAGATCTCCTTATTTCCCATCTTAATCCCTCTTCAATTTTTTTTTTGTGTGTGTGTTGGCAGTTACCTTTCTGAAACTCTACTCCAAGGTAACAGAATAAAGTCCAAAATCCTTGTCATTCAAGATTTTCACAATCTAGCCCCTCTAGTGATATTCAATAAATTTGTCAAATAAGATAATTAAGCATGGTTGCTACTTCAAAGATCTGTAAAGAGAATATATAGCAGAAAGGAGAAAAACAGAAAAGGAATTAAATTTTTAGGAAAAGAGCCTAAAACAAATTAGTGTTGAAAAAAATAAGTGAATAAAAGACTGAAGCAATTGGGGCGCCTGCGTGGCTCAGTGGGTTAAGCCTCTGCCTTTGGCTCAGGTCATGGTCTCAGTGTCCTGAGATCGAGCCCCACATCGGGCTCCCTGCTCGGTGGGGAGGCTGCTTCCCCCTCTCTCTCTGCCTGCCTCTCTGCCTACTTGTGATCTCTCTCTCTGTCAAATAAATAAATAAAATCTTAAAATTAAAAAAAATAAAAAGACTGAAGCAATAAATAGGCACAGAACCAGTAACATGAATAAAAGCAAAGAGAAAGCAGAAAGCCTTGGAGAGAGCAGCTGGATGATGGAAAGATCCAAAACGAACTGAACAATGAGATTTTCCATTTTTAACACTTGAATATCACTGATCAGGGTACCTCCATCTGCTCCAACCATCCAAGTTAATGAAATGCATAGATTAAACATATACCAGTCACTAGGTTTCTGAAGAACTTCTTCAATACTAATATGACCCAAAGACAGCTCCAGTTTTCTTGCTATGAACTCCAGCGACAAAAACTATTTGTAAGTATATCACACAGAACTCAGAAAAAAACAGATGATCCTTCTACAAAGAAAAAATACATGAAAACATACAAGTGCTTGATAACTTCCCTTTTATGTGATGAATGGAGAATAGAAATTGTTTATGTTATTACTTTTTTAAAGAGGAGGAAATTTTTCTTTAATTTTATTTTTTTTAATTTAAAAAAAAAAATTTAAGGATTTTATTTATTTGCCAGAGAGAGAGAGAGAGAGAGAGAGAACAAAAGAGGACAAGCAGGGACAGTGGGAGGCAGAGGGAGAAGCAGGTTCCCCGCTAAGCAAGGAATCCGATGTGGGACTCGATCCCAGGACCCTGGGATCATGACCTGAGCAGAATGCAGTTGCTTAACCAAATGAGCCACCCAGGTGTCCCAAAATTTTGTTCTGAAAGGGAAACAAATCTGAGAGAAGGAAAGAAGTATAATCTGAATAGAGTAATTCTCAACAACAATAACAAAAGGAGGTGGCTGCTTTTAGGTAGAGGTATTAAAATAAAAACATACATATAAAGAAAGATCAAAATTACCTCTCAAACCATGTTTTGATACTGTGGGCAAATGATTCCTCAGGATATAGATGATTATTTCTTAGATACAAAAGAATGTCAAGTAGCTTATTTGAATACTGATCATCTTTCACGTTTTTTCCAAAATCAAAGAACGCTTTTAAAGTTTTCAACATAGGAATAAGATCACGACCTAACAATTCCTGATACAAATTCCAAGCGAGGCTTACGTCTTGATGGAGGAGGGCTCCCTCAATACAATCATTGTAGTTCCTTACTGAAGGGACCAGGACTTTTTTGACATCCTCTAACAGCAGCAAAGCTTCTTTCCATCTATCTGAGTGGACTAATCCCTGGATGAGGAGAGTATAGGCTCCAGGTTCTAATCTCTTATATCTGGCTTTCATGATCTCATAGACATCAATAACTTCCGATGTCTGCTTATGAAAGACGCAGAGATACAAATACCTGACCAGCAAATCATAGCCTACAATACCGTTGTTTTTTGCAGCTACCCAGGCTAACAGAGATTTGGCCACATCTACAGAGCTACGGGAGTGCGCCATTTGTGAAATGATCCAACTTGCAAAATTAGCGTCTCCTTTGAAATCTTCCTTGAGTTTATCCCACTCTTCTGAATTCAAAGGTTTTGTTGGAAGTTGAATAGTGTTCCTTACAGGTGGCAAGGCATGATCTTCCCTGAGAGGATTCATCTGTGATCGCTTCCTAGCCGCTCCAGCTGCAAACAGATGGGAATCAGAAGAAACTTCCTTATTACTGCCTTCATCTCCTTTCCTGACATATCTGGACTTGGCAACCAGCAGATTCACTGCTTTAGTATTTTGTGCAGACACTGTTTTAAGAGAAAACCACTTCCGTTGCTCCCGGATGCCATAACAGTCTTTGAGAAAGAGAGAGAGGTAAGAGTGTCCCAGGCTTAGGCCAAGGTACGGGTTGCTCTTCCAAAGCTTGGGAAAGCTTCGAATACCCGTGAAACACAAAGTCATCATGCGGTGAGATCAGCACCAGACAGGATGGTGTTCACAAAACCCCTACTTCTACAGCATAATTAAGGAACTGGGAGTGGGGGCGGAGAATCGAAGCACCACTTCTTAAAAGATGATTTTCAGTTTCTCACAGACAAATCAGGGGTCTGCTTTTGGGGCTACTTAACGCAACGAAGTCTGCCGAGTTCTCGCCATTAAACAACCATCCGGGGACATCCGACATCGGTCGCAAGTTCTAAAACCTGGGGACAGGGCAGGAATCCTCCGGTGTCTGATATATTCCACACGGTGAACCTGAGGAAAAAGCACAAGGAGGCCCGTCCAGTTTGATTCGCGTGGAACACAACAGCCCTTGAAAAAGAGGCATGATCCCATGGGAGCCTTACCGAAGGAGGGACGCCCAACCCCAGACCTAGGAGCAGCATGGACGGCGGTGAAAGCCAAAATCTAGCGGCCCTGGGCCGGCATAACAACCCTCTCAGGCCGCCAAACGCGTCAGGTGATGATATGAGGGCGGGGGCGATGGGGAAAGAGCCGAACTGACAATTCAAGTAAGGAAGGGGGATTCACGAAGGGCACTGCCGGCCGTGTACAGACCGCTTAGAAACGAAGTTCCCTCCATTCAACAACTCACCTCAGCACTCACGCTTAAGGCAACCATAAACACGACGGAACTACCGCATCCACAATGCACCGCGAGGGCCCAGGCCCCGGGGCGTGGCCGAACCCCACGCAAGCGTTCCGCCGGGCCGGAAGGCGATAAAAACACAATTGTGAAGCTGTTAGTGGCAGAAGGGGCTGTTGAGGACGTTTACTACGTTCAGGGAAACTTTAGGGCCTCTAGATATCTGCAGTGAGCGATGAAAAGAAATTGTGAAGCAAAAAACTCTTCCTCAGGCCGGAAGCGTCATGGGACTCCGGAATCACGTGGTACACAGGCGCCAAAGTCCCAAGTTAAAGAAATAAAGACATGGGGTTCCTTATCCTGCACCTTTAAAATTGGACTTGGGAAGTTGGGCTCTGCCTTACAGATCATTTTTCGGTCTGTTTCAGGTCGGCGTGCCCCGCTGTTAAGGTGATCGCCGTTTTCTCCGCAGTAACTATAATGGGTTTCTGCCTGGTTAGCCCACTTCCGCCCGTGTGCAAGATGGCGCTCGAGCGTTCCTGACCTTTACCGGGTTGGGCGGTGATTGCAGTCTGAGCGAGTAGGGGGTGGAGCGGTTAGTGAACGGCAAATGCAGAAGCTGCTGTGCGGGAGTCAGCGATGGACTGGAAAGAAATTCTTCGCCGGCGGTTAGCGTCGCCCAGCACAGGTACCTACAGTGAGTTTGGGAGGGGCTGCTCACGGAGTTAGGTCGGCCCTAAACTCCAGCAGGTAGGGGGGAGGTCGGGGAAGAGCAGCCTCTGGGAGCCGCACTTTACGCTTCTATAAAAGCTCTCTTGACAAAGGCAGATGGGACGTGATTTAGGGGTACTGAGAGGTTTGACCCACACTTCCCGGGAAAAGGTGTGCGGAAATGAAGAACTATCTTAGCACTCACTTACGTGGCCTTGACTAAGGCTTTGGAGGGATAATTGAGGACCCCGGTTCCAACCGTTCTTCGATCCTACTACAACCTATAACCCACTGATTGATCTTAATGCCTTTTTACTAACACACTTTTCACTTCTCTCCTTATGCATTTTAGATTTTATAATCAATTTTTCCTTATTCTTCCCCCCCTCCTTCACACTTGCTTGTTAACCAGCCTGGCTGAAGCTCTTATTCCACATGTACTCTCTGGGCAGCCGAAAGTGGCTGGAGAAAAACGGAACCGTGGTAAATTGTCTCACTTTGAATTCATGTCCACTAACCTAAAGCAAGTGTCTCGGTTATTCATTTGCACGTATTCCGTGTTTCCCTCCGTCGTCATTGTCCTACACTCTAAGGCAGTTTTCATCTTCCAGACCTCTAGTTTTCCAGTATGTGCTATCTACTCCTTATCTTTAGTTGATGAGCTTGTGTATATATTTGAGAAAGTCAGTACAAAGAAAAAACCTCACCTGTTCCCACTTACCGTTTCTATCAGTCCTTTCCCCACCATAGATCCCCATATACTTTGCCTTTACTGTTCAAAATGAACTGTCCGTACTGGTATTTGAGACAATTCCTCCACTCCAACAGCAGATCGCGTTCCCTTTCTTTTATTCACTGACTTCACTGTTCTTACCTTCTCTCTCATATATCATCAAGTTTTTCTTCTCCACTAGATCATTTGAATCAGCTTTGACAAACATGCTGTAATATATTCCATGTAAGAAATATCATTTCAGGGGCGCCTGGGTGGCTCAGTGGGTTAAAGCCTGTGCCTTCCGCTCAGGTCATGATCCCAGGATCAGGCTCATCAGGCTCTCTGCTCAGCAGGAAGCCAGCTTTCCCCCCCCCCCCCCCCCCCCCCCCCTCCGTCCTTTTTTGCTTTTTTTAAAAAAAAAAAAAAAAATTTAAAAAAAAAAAAAAAAGTCCCTTTTTTTTTTAATTTTTTCTTTCTTTTTTTTTTTTTTTTTTTTTGGCTGTCAAAAAAAGGTATTTTTGTTGAAGTAAATTTGCTTTATTTTTTAAAAAAAATTTTATTTAAATTCAATTACTTAACATACAATGTATTACTGGTTTCAGAGGCACAGGTTTGTGATTCATCAGTCTTATATAATACCCAGTGTTCATTACATCCCATGCCCTCCTTAGTGTATATCACCCAGTTACCCCATCCCTCCATCCTCCCTTCCCTCTAGCAACCCTATTTGTTTCCTATGATTAAAAGTCTCTTATGTTTTTTCTCCCTCTCTGGTTTCATCTTGTTTCCTTTTTCCTCTCTTCCCCTGTGATCCTCTGTTTTGTTTCTTAAATTCTGCATTTGAATGAAATAAAATTGTCTTTCTCTGATGACTTATTTTGCTCAGCATAATACCCTCTAATTCCATCCACATCATTGCAAATGGCAAGATTTCATTTTTGATGGCTGTGTAATATTCCATGATATATATACCATATCTTCTTTATCCATTCATCTGTCAGTGGACATCTGAGCTCTTTCCATAGTTTAGTTATTGTGGACATTGCTGCTATAAACACTGGGATGCATGTGTCCCTTAAGTTCACTACATTTGTATCTTTGGGGTAAATACCCACTCCATTACATCCATATTATGTACCAAATACTATTCTAGGCTATAGCAGTAAACAAAACAGACAAAAGTCTTTGTCCTTGTGGTACTTAGGCTTTAGTGTTGGGAGAGATGATAAATAATAAGCAAATCATTTTTGTTGTACAACTTGTATTTAAGGCTGTTTTCTTCATCGGTGTGCCAGATCCCATTTTTGCTACTCAGAGTTGTATTCCTGCAGTTGTCGCCTCTCTCCTGCATCAGTTTTTCTTTCTCATTCATTCCTATCACTGTATGAACATGGTGGTATTTCTCTCACCCTAAAGAAACTTCTTGTCTTAACTTCTACCTCTACCTATGCCTCACTTCCCTGCTCCCCTTACAGCAATGCTTGTTAGAAGAAGTGTTGATTAAATCTGTGCTGTAATTACTGCTTGTCAAGATCATCAGTAATCTCCATTGCTATTCCAGTGGTCAGTTTTTAGTCCTCACTTTACTTGGCCTGCTGGCATTCCCTGCCAGGATATGGTAGTTGGCTCTCCCCCTAAACATACTTTCCTCTCTTGGTTTCTGGGAGTCATACTCCCTCAGTTTTCTTCCCACCCCACCAGTCATGCCTTCTCAGTCTTTGTTTTCTTTTCCCCAGCAACTCAGCATTGGAGTGCCCAAAAGCTAAGGAAGTCCTTGGTCAGCTTCTGTTCTCTATCTATACTCACCTTCATGGTGAAATTAGCCATTCTTATGGCTTTAAATAATGTATATTTGCTGTTGTCACCTAAATTTATATCTCCACTTTCCAAATGCCAGATTCATATATCTCATTGCCTACTTGACATGGCCATTTGTCAAGTGGCCATGTCAGGTGACTCTAATAGGTATCTTAATCCTAAACTTGTCCAAAACTGAACTCCTGATCTCCTTTCTAACTTGCTTACCTGTTACTTTCCCCATCTGCTCAGGTCAAAACCTTTGGAGATCTCTTCAACTGTTTTGTTTGTCGGATACCCACATGCAGTTGTCTGCAAATCCTGAGACTAAGAAAATATATCCAGAATATTTACTCCTAACTACCTCTGTTGCAGCCACCACAATCCACGGCCATCACCATCTGTCACCTGGACATTAGCCTCCTAATTGCTGCTGTTGGCTCTCTCCCTCACCAGAATAAAAGCCAGGGTCTTTCTAATGACCCAGTGGCCTTGACTCTCATTACCTGCCTTCCCTCATCTACTCTTTCCTCTGGCTCACTCTGCTGCAGCCACACTGGCTGCGTCCTTCTTTCCTGGATACGCCAGGCACACTCCTGTCTTCAGGCCTTGGCGCTGGCTGTGTCCTTGCCTGGTATGCACTTCCCCCTGTTTATCTGCATAGACTGCTTCCTTGCCTTCTTCAAATTTTTTGCTCAGTTTCATCTCAGTGAGGCTTTCCCTGACACTGTATTGAAAGCCATATGTAGGTATGGACACATGTGTACATGTCCACTCATACTTGCTTGTCCCTAGAATAGTTGAATGAAAAAGAATAAGTGAAATCATGAAAATGACTCCAGGGATTTGGGCTGGGGTGACTAGATGAATACCACTAACTGGGTTGGAAATGTGGAATTAGAAGAAGAATAGTAAGGTGAGGGATGGGAAAATTATTTTAGATATGTTGGAGGTGAGGATGAAAATATTTTGTTTTGAATGTATGAATTTAAAGTTCAAGAGTTCAATGTCTGGGTTAGTGACATACATTTGGGACTCAGAAGCCAAACTACTAAGTTGAAATGAGGAAAAAAGATTAACAAAAAAGAAATGGCCAGAAAATAAGAATAAACAGTTAAGGTTAAAAATTAACTTGGCACATGTGGCAGAAATGCAGGGGAACGGCTCTGGAACATTGGAAAGAAGTGAGGCCAGGAGAAGGAAAGTAGACTATTGAGAAAATAGGTCACAGATCTGAAGATTTCAGTAAGGCTGACGTGTAGGTATCATGACAGGTTTTGAATAACCAGGAGAGAAAAATTATCTGAGAGTGTATTTAATTTAAATTTAGTATATTTAGGAACAGATAAGATCTGTGGTCTTGCCGTGGAACCGAGTGACAGAGGTGACCCCTCTTAAGAGCTGAGGGGTCACGGTTACTCATAAACATTTATGCTTCCTTGACGATTGCAGGACCTTGAGCTGAAAAACAGTGTGCGCTAGTTGCTGTGGTCAATACACAGTGCAGGGGACGGACTGAAGGAGACAGCTGTAGGCCAGTAGCAGGCCAGCTGGGGGCTAAGAGCAGCTTGAGATGGAAGAGGTTTCCATTACTTAGAGGAACAGTGATTGCAAGGATGAAACTTCATGAGGTCAAGGGCTGCATCTGTTTTCTCACCATGCTAGCCCTAGTGTCTAGTACTGTTCTGTACACAGTAGGTGCTCAAGAAGTACTTTTGATGGAATGAATCATGAACATACCAGAAGTCTGGAAGAAAGTGACTTGAGGAAGACACAAGTATAGTTACAAAAAGAAATAGAGGGAGCAACTAAGATGTGGTTGAAGATGCAGGGGAGGCTCTTCCAATTCTTGGTGCTTCAAGAAAATGAATGTAGATGTTCAGTGTATAAGCACAATTTTGAATGTCTTTTTTGCACTGTAATTACACCATAGTAAAAACAAATACTGATTTTAAGGGGTGCTTGGGTAGCGCAGTTGGTTTGAGCACCCATCTCCTGATTTTGGTTGAGTTCATGATCTCAGGGTCGTGAGATTGAGCCCCGTGTTGGGTTCCGCACTGGGTGTGGGGTCTGCTTAAGATTATCTCTCTTTCAGGGTGCCTGGGTGGCTCAGTGGGTTAAAGCCCCTGCCTTCAGCTCAGGTCATGATCCCAGAGTCCTGGGATCGAGCCCCGCATCAAGCCCTGCATCGGGCTCTCTGCTCGGCAGGGAGCCTGCTTCTGCCTCTCTGCCTGCCACTCTGCCTGCCTCTCTGCCTACTTGTGATCTCTATCTGTCAAATAAAATAAAATCTTTAAAAAAAAAGAAAGATTATCTCTCTCTCTCTCCCTCTCCTCTTCCCCCTCTTCTCTCTCTCAAAAAATAAGTAGGTAAAAATACTGATTTTGAAAGTGCTCTTCCCCCTTCAATCTGTTTTGTTACCAGGAAAAAAAAGTGAACAAGAATTAAAAGATGAAGAAATGGATTTGTTTACCAAATACTACTCAGAATGGAAAGGGGATAGAAAAAGCACAAATGAATTCTATAAGACCATTCCCCGGTTTTATTACAGGGTAAGTGGTATCTAAGCAAATGTCTCATGGAGTTTATAAATGAAATGTTAACTCTTAAAATGGGATCAGAATCTTTTATATAAATAAATAGAGGTTATATTTTAAATTTTATATATTCTTTCATTGTATTTGATCTTACTGTTTTGAAATTGATAAAATCTCAAGTTGCTTTTTCTTATAAATCTCAAGTTTTGATATAAATTGGTATAAGAACACAAAGTTGTTACTTGGCCCCCTTTTTCTGATTTACAGGCTTTTCCTTCCTATTTTTTCTTACGGATATTAGCAGTAGGTATTCTGTTGGATCATGTGTCTAGGTTTACTTGGCTGATTACCATTTTTAACTTTGTCTTTTACCCATGTTCTTAAGGTGTAATACATTTTGCTCAAGGTTAAACTGAAAAATAGATTAAAATGGAAAACTTGAAGAGTTGTACTTACGTTTGCTTGTGCCAAAACCATAAAGAACTCCTTGAAAGAGCGTATAGAAGACAGGAAGACCTTAAGAAAACTACTTACAGCTGAAATTGAAGGCCACTGAAAGAATAAGATCTATTTAGTATTATGTAAGATGTGACCACTATAGAAAAGTTAACTGTGAGATTTTAGCTGCATGTCTCTTAATTTTCTACCTTCTAAACTCAATTATAACATTATTTACAAAGATAGTAAATGTTGTTTTGCTTATATTTAGGAGCAATGTATTAATATAAGTGAATTACTTAGATAGTTGTAACATTTCTTCAAGTACAAGCCTTTTCCAAGTGAACCATTTTTATTGGAAACCTTTCTGTAATACTATTTCCCAGTCTTTTGAGAGTTATATGACTACGGGTGCCTAGCTGCCCTAGGGTCAGTAGAGCATATGATTCTTGATCTTGGGATATGAGTCCAAGCCCCATGTTGGGTGTAGAGATTATTTAAAAATAAAATCTTAAGGGGCGCCTCGGTGGCTCGGTGGGTTGAGGCCTCTGTCTTCGGCCTAGGTCGTGGTCCCGGGGTTCTGGGATCGAGCCCCGTGTTGGGCTGTCTGCTCCGCGGGGAGCCTGCTTCATCTTCTCTCTCTCTCTCTGCCTGCCTCTCTGCCTTCTTGTGGTCTCTGTCAGATAAATAAATGAAATCTTTAAAGGAAAAAAAAATAATAATAAAATAAAATCTTAAAAAAATTATATGACTAATCCACATTTGTCATGGAAAAGAGAAAAAATAGCTGATATTTTCCCATAACATTGCACAGAGATGTAAATAAATATTTCTACATGAATCCTTCTCCATACCTCTGTGTACACATGTGTTTAATAACAGTGGGATCATATCATATGTACTTCTCCCACTTTATGCATTTCACACTTTCTTAAACAGAGTCCACTAGACAATTAAAAACATTTTATAGTCTAGGGGAGCAGGAAGGGAATTGATGTTTATTGAGTGCCGATGTACTTCAGAGCACTTTATATTCATGATCTCATTTAATCAGGATTATGAAATAGTATCTTACCCAGAAACAGCCCTTAGATGTTGACATGACCCCATTTCTGAACCAAGGACTCAACTTTCCTGTACTGGAAGTACCAGTACCAATCTTTTGATCTACCCTGTGGTTTCTGAGGAATTCCTTTTACCCCATTTCTGTCTCTTCCTTCTCTCTGTGACCTCTTCCAGATCCCACATGGTCTCCTGTCTGCAGATGTGGATTTGTGGAATGTTCTTCTGTTTCTTCTCTCTCTGTCTTCCCACTGCTTTGGAGAAACCACCTGCTGTCTTTAGTTACCACTTCTCTCCTTGGCTGATTAGCTGGTTGACTAGCCAGTGGAGCACGATCACAGTCTCAGCCCCAGCCTTACCTTTTAATGCTTCCTCCTTTTCCATTCCTTTGGATGGGAGGGATGGCATCTTAGTTCTTGGAAATGAAAGAACAAATTTGACTATGGTTGCTTAGCTAGGTTTAATGGGGCTGAGTTACAGACAACAAAGAAATCCTCGAAGCAGGTTGTTTGAGGTTGAGCTGGAATTAGTCATTTTAAAGCCCTGTTTATGGAAATCACCCCAGCGAGCAGACTGTCTGCCTAGGAGGTGAATATAACAAACCTGGGCTTGACCATCTCCAAGAAGTAAGATCATTCAAGCTCAAAAGGCATACTTTGCTAAGACCGTGTATCTTCAGTTAGTTCTAATTTAATTCTTTGTCAGTCTAAAGTTAGAGTGGAAAGAGTGCTCTAAGAATATAAAATCAAACTTGGGCTAGACCATTAGCTCTTTCTAGGCAGGGATCTGGCATTACTGATCATTGGATTCTCTCTGGATCTCTTTTTGTTAAATGAACTTTCTGAATGAATGATAACTTGAAGTTAAGCAAAATTGAGATACAAAACATAATTTGAGGCAATGCAATATGTAGTTACTTTATGAGGCCCAGTATATTTTACATAATCCAATAATAGTCTAGAATTGAAATGTAAAAATTAACTCTAGTGTATTTTTAGCTGCCAGCTGAAGATGAAGTCTTACTACAGAAATTAAGAGAGGAATCCAGAGCTGTCTTTCTGCAGAGGAAAAGCAGAGAACTGTTAGATAATGAAGAATTACAGGTAAGAAAAGGATTAAAGGTTGCTTTGGACCTTAGCCATTTTTTTATTTGTACTAAAGTCATACAGGACCTCAGGGTGTCTTAATGGAGCCACAGCTGCCGAGTGGGTGAACACACAGGCCCTGGAGCGGTGAGTCCTACCAAAATCAACTGCAGAGCTTGCCTGGCACCAGCTCCCCAAGATCTTGTTTTGTTTTGTTTTGAAGTCCCTACGTGATTGTAATGTGAGGCCAATGTTGAGAAACACTACTATAGGGTCAGACTTTGGGGGTTCACATCCTAGCCATGCTCTGTGACCTTGGGCAATGGACTTAACATTTCTGTGCTTCAGTTGTCATCTGTGACGTAGGGATAATAGTATCTATCTGCATCACAGTTATATGGATTAAAGAGGTACTGTAGCGTGGGGGGATGGGATAACTGGGTGATGGGCATTAAGGAGGGCACATGTTGTGATGAGCTCTGGGTGTTCTGTGCAACTAATGAATCGTTGAACACAACATCAGAAACTAATGATGTACTATATGTTGGCTAATTGAACACAATAATTTTTAAAAGCTTAAATAAAAAATAAAAAATAAAATAAAGAGGTTCCATATATGAAAACTTTAAACTTGGGCATTCAGTAAACGCCAGCTATTTGTATTATGTTATTAGTAATCAAAAGGGTAATAGGGAATGAGATTCATCTTACTATTAAATCTCTACTATCAGACTTTCATTTTAATGGAAATAACACATTTAACGATGTTAAATTTTGTTTTATTAACTATAACATCTTCATTTCTGGAATTCTCCTAAGAACTTATGGTTTTTGCTGGATAAGCACCAGACACCGCCTATGATTGGAGAGGAAGCAATGATTAATTATGAAAATTTTCTAAAGGTTGGTGACAAAGCTGGACCAAAGTGCAAGTAAGTTTCATTAAGTATAATTAACAAAGGAGTATGTTATGTTAAGCATTTGAAATGCCAGAAATAAATGTCAATGAAAATATAAGTCAATTGTGTGACAGTTTGAGTCCTTTCAGTTATTAATGAAATTTAAAAATTATTTAGTCAAGCAAAACTTCATTGGTATGAAGTTATTAAAAGAAACAAATGGTTTAGAAGGAAAAAATGAAACGAGATGGGATCTGGAGGGAGCAAACCATAAGAGACTCAATCTCAAAAAACAAACTGAGGGTTGCTGGAGACTAGGGAGGTAGGGGTAGGGAGAGGGTGACTGGGTTATGGACATCGGGGAGGGTATGTTCTATGGTAAGTGCTGTGAAATGTGTAAGCCTGATGATTCACAGACCTGAACCCCTGGGGCAAATAATACATTATATGTTAATAAAAATAATTAAAAAAAATAATAGTTTATAATATAGTGTATTTATATACTATACAACTATATATATATATATATATATATATAGTACATTTATATACAAGAGTATAGGTTTTCATTCTTTTTTGGGTTGTTTTAGCCTTTCATAAAATGATAAAATTCAAAGATGTCTGACAGTATTTTAAGTTTTGAACTGTGGTTCTCACTTTGATTTTTTTCATTTTGGTTTTTAATTGTTTGAATTCATGCAGTTTGCTAATTCAATATGTTTGCTCTGTTGGGAGATAATTTTAATCTTTATTTCCTTTCCTTAGGCAGTTTTTCACAGCAAAAGTCTTCGCAAAACTCCTTCATACAGACTCTTATGGAAGAATTTCTATCATGCAGTTCTTCAATTATGTCATGAGAAAAGGTGATTTCATTTTCATTGTGTTTAAACTCTTATCTGGGAATCAAGGAGATTTTGGTACATGCGTTTACAATATTTCTTCTATGTGAAACAACTCTCTTAGTAAGTTTGAATAAATAGCAGAATTTCTTTCTTTCTTTTTTTTTTCTTTTGTAAAAGAGAGAACAGAACACGCATGAGTCAGGGTTGGAGGGTAGGTGTTGTGACAGAGGGAGATAAAGAATCCCAAGCAGACTCCATGCCCAGCAGGGATCCCAACACACAGTTGGATATCAGGACCCTGAGACCCTGACCGGAGCCAGAATCAAGAGTGAGATGCTTAACTGAGTTACCCACACACCCCTGAAGAGCAGAATTTCTTATTTCTTACCTTTGGATGCAGATTTATTTTTTATTTTTCTGATTCTCTCCTGGAGGAACTTATTAGAGCCAAGATTTTCTACCATAAATTTGGGCATTATTATAAATAACACAAAACAAAAACATGTATCCTAAAGATACTAGCTAAGAGTTATATATTAAAAGCTGAACCAAGAGGGACACTTGGGTGGCTCAGTGGGTTAAGCCTCTGCCTTTGGCTTAGGTCGTGATCTCAGGGTCCTGGGATCAAGCCCCGCAGCATCGGGCTCCCTGCTCTGCAGGGAGCCTGCTTCCCCTCCCCTCCCCCGCCTGCCTCTCTGCCTACTTGTGATTTCTGTCAAATAAATAAATAAAATCTTTAAAAAAAGTAAAATAAAATAAAAAATAAAAGCTGAACCAAGAGTTTTAATGTAGTGATTTAAATGATTTTAATTCACTGGTAATTCTGTTTTACCAACATACAGTTGACCCTTGAAGAACACAGAGTTTGGGGCACTAACCTCTCATGTAGTCGAAAATCTGAGTATAAGTTCTGGCTCCCCAAAAACTGAACAGTTAAGAGCCTGTTTTTGGCTGGAAACCTTACCAATAACAAACAGTTGATTAACACGTTTTATATCTTACATGTATTATATACTGTATTCTTACAATAAAGTAAGATAGAAAAAAGAACGTTACTATGAAAATCACGAGGTAAGGCATCTGGCTGGCTCAGTCAGTGGAGCATGCAACTCTTGATCTCGGGGCTGTGAGTTTGAGCCCCATGTAGGATGTAGAAATTATTTAAAAAAAAAAAAAAGAATATTTTGAAGGGCATCAACTTTATTGTCGCTTTAGGCAGGGTAGAATTGTTGCTATCTGCCATTAATTCTATGGTATATTTTGATACAAACAATTTTAGGGTTACTGGATAAGTAATATATGCGTGTGAAGAAGTATGTAAAGTTATTAATTTGTCCCTCTAATCTAGCTGTTTATCTCCTTTTATCCATATATATGCTAAAGGACAGATCTTAAAATTACATTATATCTTTATTGTTAGTTTGGCTTCATCAGACAAGAATAGGACTCAGTTTATATGATGTTGCTGGACAAGGATACCTTCGGGAATCTGTAAGTATTAACCTACTTTAATAACTTCTATAGACACAGAATGTTAACAGTAGTTATCACTGAGTGTTGGGATCAAAGGTGATTTTATTTTTCTTTCTCTGATTTTGTTTGTTTTCACAAATAATGTGTTACTAAAAATCTTTTAAAATGAATATTGACCCCCCCAAAAGTATATATTGACCACAAAAATCTTTTCTAGATTCTTTTTCTCCAACTTTTGAAAATAGCTTTTCAAAGGAGAAAATTAAAAGAATGTAGTGGGGTTTTTTGTTTTTGTTTTTTTTTTTAAAGATTTTATTTATTTATTTGACAGAGAGAGAGAGATCACAAGTAGGCAGAGAGGCAGGCAGAGAGAGAGGGGGAAGCAGGCTCCCTGCTGAGCAGAGAGCCCGACTTGTGGCTTGATCCCAGGACCCTAGGATCATGACCTAAGATGAAGGCAAAGGCCCAACCCATTGAGCCACCAAGGCGCCCCAAGAATGTAGTGTTTTAACAGGATTAAAAATCATTGAAGAAAGAGGAAAACTTTTCATTATTCCTGAGTGTTACAAATGTTAGCATCAGGAATTTTTCAGGCTTACAAAGAACAGAAAGTTTGATAATGCTTTTAATAAGGGAATATATAATAGGCCATGATTTCCCAAACTCTCAATTTGCAGTGCCCTTAGTATCTCAGTAATTTCTGCATAGTGCTTTTAGGTCAAAAGAAATACCTGAGTTTCATTTATTAGTTCTGAAAAATTTATGAAAGTATTTATTAAGCTTATTATATTAGCCATTTGAAAAAAAAATACACCTAAGTTGAAAGTAATATTTTTGCTTCATTCTTAAATTACAAATACTAATGGAAATTGTGCCCATGGGGCACACTGTATGGCCAGTCAATCCTGGCAGTTAAGATTGGACAGTTGTCCTTCACTTCCCGTTCCATGTGGTACTTGCTTTATGACAACCATCAAGAACCTAGCTTCACAAAGATTTATGTCATCAAAAAAGCATGTATCCCCATCAGTGTCGATAATGTGCACTATCTTGAGGTCATAGCTCTAGCTCATAGCCACATCAGTTTTGCACTCTTTGGTGAAGTCATTGTTTCCCTGAAATTTTTTTAATATCCTGCTGCACCCCTGTGAGTTTACTGAAGCATTCCTGGGGCACAGTATGGGAACTGTTGGTTTAGCCTTCACATTGCTGGTGGGAGTATAAAATAGAGGAGGGAGGTGGGAAGTTTTCTCCTCCCTGCTTGTGCTCTCTCTTGCTATCTCGGTCTCTCTCAAATAAATAAAATCTTTTCAAAAAATTTAAAAATAAATACAAGACTTTATTTATTTGAGAGAGAGACCAAGCATGAGAAAGCACAAGTAGGAGGAGGGGCAGAGGAAGAAGCAGGCACCCTGCTGAGCAGGGGGGCCAATGCAGAGCTCTATCCCAGAACCCTGAGATCAGGCCCAGAGCCACCCAGGCACCCTCTTTTTGTTCCTTTTGATTTTGGAACTATACCAAATATATTGCTTATTCAAAAATGTTAAATTGAAACAAAAAGTAAAACAATATAGGTTTTACCACTAACATAGTTATGATTTTATTTTATCACTAATATACTATTAATGCTGAATAATTTTTAGGACTGAAATTCAGCATTCCAGCATCTAACAAAGAAACAAGATCGGACAGTTAACTCTTTAACGTTTTGATTTGTTTTCTTTCAGGATTTAGAAAACTATATATTGGAACTAATTCCTACTTTGCCACAATTAGATGGGCTGGAAAAGTCTTTTTACTCCTTCTATGTCTGTACAGCAGTTAGGAAATTCTTCTTCTTTTTAGACCCTCTAAGAACAGGTAAAAGAAAATCTTAGATGTTATAAGGATATTATTCTAAATCTCAATAACTAAAGTCTTGAAAATGTCATTCATTTTTCTACTATGTCATTGCCTTTAATATATAAAGATCTTTTATGATTTATTTGGACCATCTAGAACCAACTTTGTGACAGTGGGCATGTCACCTAACTTCTTAGTTTCTTCATCTCCAAAGTGATGTATGAACTGGATAAACATTGACTCCTTCTGGTTCTAAGAAACCAGTTATTCTGAAATGATTTGCTATCCCTGATATGTAATATACTGGAGAGCTGTTCTTGATGAAAGATACGAAGCTTTAAAATATCAATTGTGTGATTACTCTTCTAAAATAATGCCTTTATATTGAGCTCCTCTTTTTTAAAAAATGAAACTGTGTTTGTTCTTTAAAGGGAAGATTAAAATTCAAGATATTTTAGCATGCAGCTTCCTAGATGATTTATTGGAGGTAAATATGTTTTTTAAATACCTAATTATATCACTTGACAGTTACTATCTTCTAATTATGTCTCTGTGTTTATTTAGTTAAGGGATGAGGAACTGTCCAAGGAGAGTCAAGAAACTAATTGGTTTTCTGCACCTTCTGCCCTAAGGGTATATGGTATGGTTCTTGTCATAATGCTAAAATTTGAATGATCCATTCCTCAGTTAATTAGCGTTCAAAGGGCAATTTTATACATAGGCTTATTTACCTTAGGATGAAAGTATTCTAATTACTTTAAGAGCTAGTATTCTAGGTTACTAAAATTTACTTGTCATTTTCTTACTCTTTAATAGAACATACAGAATGTAATTTGATCCTTTCTTGTTGACTCAGGAACATCATTATGAACATCAGTCATTATCTTGCATTGTGATAAAATGCCACTGCTGTCAGCGTCCACAGTGGCAAGTGTTCTTAGGACTGTTTGCTTTTTCCTTTAATTTCATTAGTATGCTCCATTATTCTCTTGGGTGGTCTTTGGATTCCTTTTGGCATCCTTGATCTCTGCTTTCAAGAGCCAGCATGTCAGTGTTTTTTATTCACCCCTGTCTCTAATTTTGAAACTTAGGAAAGTTCTAAAAGTTTGCAAACTGAAAACAGATAGTGATGGCAATAGCCCAAAGGCCATGGCTTTATGCAGAGCTTAGGGACTGTGGTGATAGAGAGTGCAGGGCACTACCCTAATATAGATTGAAGATCAAAGTATTAACCAATAAAAAGAACTTCTGGTGTTTATTCTTTTGTCCTCAGATTTTTATTTTGGTCATAAATGTCTTTTTATCATTTTTCTTCCCAAGGCCAGTATTTGAATCTTGATAAGGATCACAATGGTATGCTCAGTAAAGAAGAACTCTCCCGCTATGGAACAGCAACCATGACCAACGTCTTCTTAGATCGTGTTTTCCAGGAGTGTCTCACTTATGATGGAGAAATGGTAGTAGTTTAAATCTGATAAGTTTTAAAAATTTAGGCTCCCACAGTTTTCATGAACCTTTCCCTTGATGTGATACAGCATTATTTTTATATCAGTATCTTTAAATCTGAACTAATCAAATTGTGAATTTTGGAGCCTTTAATCTTAAGGTAAATTTTCTTAAAAACATTATGGACTCAGGACAAATATAAAATTTTAATAATTTTTTCATTTCATTATCAGTGTATCTCTCTTTTTAATGTTTCAAGTTCTGTTTAAATTCCAGTTAGTTAACATGTAGTGTAATATTAAGAATTTAGTGATTCATCACTTACTACACACCCAATCCTCATCCCAACAAGTGCCCTCCTTAATACCCATCACTCTTTTAGCCCATCTCCCCTGCCCACCTCCCCCTAAGGAGTATGGATTAGGGGAGAAAAAAAAGAATCTGAAAAATCGGCAAATCCTGTTGACTCTTTTCATGTAGATGTAGATAGTTCATTAAACTTCCAGATCAGATAGTGTACCACAGATGCCGTGATTTAAATCTAAGAATCAAGTTGTATTTCTTTCTGTAAGTGGCTGTATTAATAGCTACTGATTAACATGCCCTGTCCTCTTACCACAACAATGCACAATACTTAAGGAAATTCTACCTAGCATTTTATTTTTTTTTTAAGATTTTATTTATTTATTTGACAGAAATCACAAGTAGGCAGAGAGGCAGGCAGAGAGAGAGAGGAGGAAGCAGGCTCCCTGCTGAGCAGAGAGCCCAATGTGGGGTCTGATCCCAGGATCCTGGGATCATGACCTGAGCCAAATGCAGAGGCTTTAACCCACTGAGCTACCCAGTTGCCCTTCTACCTAGCATTTTAAAATCACCATCCTTGCTATTAAAAACATGTGTTAAGGATGTGATAAATTATCAAACCAATGACACTTAAGAAATGGTCATATTGTCAGAAGAGAATTGGTGTTTTAGGTTTTATCACTTAGCTTGAATAGCAGTTTTCTAAACACCATTTTTAGCTAGCAGTATGGGAAAAAGGGGGAACTCTGCTTTGTGACTCCTACAGCTGTCTACAGTCGACAATGAGGAGCTTGTAGCTTGTAGTGGACTAATGACTTCTGGTGAATACAGTCAGAGGCTACAGCTATGGATGGAGTTAGACCGTGATGAGGCTGTATCTCTTTAGCTCTTTATACTGCAATTCACACAAAAGGAACTCTTAATCTTAGCCTAAAAAAAACTACGAGAATATAAAATTTCTTCTAAGTGTAATATCCAAAGTGTTCTTTTCACCGTGCAAAAAAAGTAATGAGTATCCCTTTTTTGTAGAGAAAGCTTTCTGTTTTCTTCATGTCTTTCTGGCTTTCATTTGTGCTTTTTTGCCTTCTGGATGAGAACAGTTTCAGTTCACTGTATAATATTGGGTATTTTTAAGATGGCTTATTATTATTCTTTTTTTTTTTTAAGATTTTATTTATTTATTTGACAGACAGAGATCACAAGTAGGCAAAGAGGCAGGCAGAGAGAGAGAGAGAGAGGGAAGCAGGCTCTCTGCTGAACAGAGAGGCCGATGCGGGGCTTTATCCCAGGACCCCGAGATCATGACCTGAGCCGAAGGCAGAGGCTTTAACCCACTGAGCCACCCAGGCGCCCCGGCTTATTATTATTCTTATCTGATTTTAAAATGTTTAAATATTTCAAAATAACTATTTAAATATACTGTTCTATTCATTCCAGATAAACTGGTTCTTTTTTTTTTCTTTTCTTTTTTTTTTTTTTACAAACTTATCACACTGAAAGGAAGATACTAATTTAGTGGCATTGTATAATAGCTTAGTCATTGTCCTATCTACTTCAAAGGCATAATAAAATAAAATTACTTCTTAAGACAGCAACTCTCTCATAAGAAAATGAGCTATATCCTCAAACTGTCCTATACAGATTAACTGCTTTGTAGAATTTCTAGAAACCAATATTAAGTATACAAATGGATATCTCATTTCTTATTTTTTAAAAAATTGCCATTTTTATGAGAGACTCTTGACTGGGAAACAGTTGTGGAAGGGGAGGTAGGTGGGGGGGATGGGGTAATGGGGTGATTGGCAGTATCATGTGAAGAGCACTGAGTGTTATATGCAACTAATGGTGTACTATAAATTGGCTAATTGAGGAACACCTGGGTGGCCGAGTCAGTTAAGCATCTGCCTTCAGCTCAGGTCATGATCCCAGGGTCCTGGAATCAAGTCTCACATCGGGAGCCTGCCATTTCCTCTGCCCCTCCCCCTGCTCATGATCTCTCTCTCTCTCACTCTGTCTCTCAAATAAATAAAATCTTTAAAAAATATGTTGGCTAATTGAATTTAAATTTTAAAAATTGCCATCTTTGATTGTAAAATAGCTTTAAATCATTAGATATTCAATTGAAAAGTTCATTCCAAACAAGACTTCTAACGAATGTCATCTTCTTTTCTACAGGACTATAAAACCTACCTGGACTTTGTTCTTGCATTAGAAAACCGAAAAGAACCGGCAGCTCTGCAGTATATTTTCAAATTACTTGATATTGAGAACAAAGGATATCTGAATGTCTTTTCACTTAATTACTTTTTTAGGGTAAGTCTCATTTGTGTAAATGAGTCATTGTTCCTTAAGATAATATTATACTTAAATATACAATATTAAATTATATTATACTTATATATATAATATTAAATTGATTTAAATTATCTATGTAACAATTTTATCTAATTTGTGATATTTAAGTATAACAAAAGGGTATACTAACAGATTTTATTATTAATATTTTTTAAGTAGCTCCATGCCTGGCATGGAGCCCAACATGGGGCTTGAACTCCCAACCCTGAGACTAAACCCTGAGCTGAAATCAAGAGTTGAACACTTAATTAACCGACTGAGCCACCCAGACATCCCAATTTACTAACAGATTTTAGAAGAAAATAAGTCTTTTAGTTTTTTTTTTTCTATTTTTTAAAAACATAAGTAGACTAAAGCAAAGCTGATTTGATTAGTTGTAGAACCTTAAAATGTATAAATATGTGTCAGGGGCTATACTGGCCACTGGAGATACAGACATACATGAGAAATTTTGTGCTTTGGTGATCAAAAACTAGTGTGTAAAATCCTTCAGAAGCTTCAGTTAAACAGTTCAGAAAAGGTAGAAGTTTTGCAGACTTTGGTAGTAGTAGATTCTTTTAAATGCTGTGCTGTAAAAAATAATTATTTATTTTAATAATTTTAAAATTATTGTATGCTGCATTTCAGCATGAAAACAGGTTTGCTGAAGTGCTTATTTTGTGTCTTAGGTGGTCTCAGAGAATAATGTGATGAGTTCTGAGAAGGGAAATTTGAATGTATCTTATCTGATGAGCATTCAAATGCACAGGGTGTAAAAATAGGAATGTCTGCCCTTCTAAGACAAATCATTCCTAAATTTGAATGGTGACTTTTCTATTTGGTAGAATAGTTTTGTACAGTAGTATTTCACTATTACCTTATTTCTATGGCTAGTTTTTAGATGACTGATTTTTGGTTAAAATATGGTTAAGAACAGTAGGAAAATGGCTTTTTTTAAACAATGAAAATGACATTTTCACATCTTTGTCACAAAACATTTTTCCCCAGAGGCTTCTCCTTTTCCATTTAAATATCTGGGATACTTTAAAAATAACTATTTGGTTCTGAGTTTCATAGTATGTAAAATTCATAGTTTTATGTTAAATCCCCTAAAACTTCCGTAATGATTTCCTAGGCAGTAATGACTACCAATATTAGGATAAACTACAATTGCAGTATTAGGATACATTTTTAAAAAATTGAATCCATGGCTAATCTGAGAGTATAACACCAACTCATCCTATCAATGCCCCATTTCAGGCAGACCTATTAAATGAAAATTCAGTTTTAGAAAAACAAACTAAATATTTTTAGAAATTAAACACTCAACCCTTTTTCTTTTCTTTTTTTTAAAGATTTTATTTATTTGTCAGAGAGAGAGAGAGAGCAAGAGAGGGAACACAGGCAGGCGGGGTGGGAAGAGAGAAGCAGGCTTACCGCAGAGCAGGGAGCCTAATGGGGGTCTTGATCCCAGGACCCTGGGATCATCACCTGAGCCACCCAGGTGCCCCTCATTCCTTTTTCATGAAGAGTTCTTTACAGTATCTTCTCTTAGAATATTAAAATTTTTGTTTTTAAAATATTTTATACACACATTTATTTTATCAAAGTATTTAGGCTTGGTTATATGGGTTAAATACTTACTGGTGCTGCATCCTGCAGTCCTAAGCTGTTCGTAGAGTCTTTATCAATACCCCACTGATAAAGGTCAGCCTAGATGGAGCACTCGACCCTGTCTCCAGGTCTGCAGCTCTAGTGGCTGTGAGTATACTCAGATTCTCACCTGCTGCAAAGAGATAACCTGTGCACATGCTGGTATCGGGGGCACCACATACAGAGTAGGCATCTGCAACATATTTATTCAATTCTTTACCAAGAATTTTAAGCTTCACATTTTCTAGTGAATGTCTCTCCCCTAAAATACTTACTAGTCCACCTGGATCACAGTAGTTTCTTCTGTTAATAGTTTTTTTTTTTTGTTCTGTTCTGTTTTGTGTTTGTTTGTTAAAGGCTTTGTTATAAAAGAGAGTTTGAGGGAGGCTTACCTCCATTTTTTTTTTTTTTTCTGTCAAGTATAAGGCATAATACAGGGTGGGAGGCAGAGGTGGCAGATTGGGTGTCTTAAAGAATGGTGAAGGTATGCACAGCATTCCTGGAGAATGCAGGGATCAGGCATAACAGAATAATTGCTAGGCCATGTAAAGGCCCATGGGAGGTTGGAGACCATTCCTATATGGTAGTAACAATCTGTGGCCTTGTATACTTTTTTCTGGAATTCTCAATAGCAAGATAGAGATCTACAAAGGTTGATGGTTATACTGATCATTGTTTAAATTTTGCTGACTGGATGTGAAGCAAGTTCAAGGAAGTTGAGAACATTGGCAAGAGTGGTTGAAAAGATAAAGCTTGTGGTCTGATAGGAAAAGATGTGGGACTAGAACGGGCCATGGGACAGGAAGGGGGCTGTGGTATATTTTTTATTTACAGACTTATTCCTACCCATACAGGCCATACAGGAACTCATGAAAATCCATGGACAAGATCCTGTTTCATTTCAAGATGTCAAGGTTACTTTCTCTTTTCTTTTCTTTAAGTAAGCTCTGTACCAAGTGGGGGCTTTTGAACTCTCATGACCCTGAGATCAGGAGACACATGATCTACCGACTGAGCCAGCCAGGTGCCCCTTACGTGTTCTTTTAATATATGGGATACCAGTTGGGATGCCTGCATGGCTCAGTCAGTTAAGAGTCTGACTCTTGGTTTTGACTCAGGTCATGGTCTCAGGGTCCTGGGATGGAGCTCACGTTGGTCTTTGCGGGGAGTCTGTTTCCCCTCCCTCTCTCCCTTTGCCCCTCCCCCTGCTTGTGCACACACGTGCTCTAAGATAAATCTTTTAAAAAATAATATAATAGCAGATAATCATCTGTATTAAGTGAAATTTTGTATGAAAGAAACTTACGAATACGAAGTACTGAACTGAACCAAGTATTTGCTGTTATTTATTCTGAACCAAATTTCAATCATTAGAAACTGAGACCACACTTGGAATAATGATTTGCATAGTTTATAATGTTAGCATTGTCAGACTGTATTTTCATTGGAAGCATTCATTCATTTTGATTGAAAAGAGAATCAAATATAGCCTGCATCCTTTGGCAGCCTATTCCAGTGTAAAATGAATTTTTAATCTTGGTAACTACAGTTGACCCTTGAACAACACAGGAGTTAGAAGTAATGCCCCTCTCCCATGCAACTGAAAAATCCATGTAGAACTTTTGACTCCCCCAAAAACTTAACTACTCATAGCCTACTGTTGACTGGAAGCTTCACATAAACAATAACATAGCTAACACATATTTTGTATATGTTTAACATACTATAATTCGTAAAAATGGAGCTAGAGAAAAAATGTAACTGAGAATCATCAGAAAAGGAAATGCATTTACAATATACTGTATTTATCCAAAATATCTACGTCTGGCTGGACCCATGCATTTCTGATCTGTGTTGTTCAAAGGTCAAATGTATTTAGGTTTGGGCACTTTTTAAATCTACTCTTTCAAAGGTCTTACTTGCTTTTGTATTATTAAGGAGCTATCAATCCTACAATATGAAAACTACCACTATTTGAAACACAGGCTAATGCTTCATTTTCGTAGTCAGACTTTCACCAGCTGTAAAAAACCTATAGTACCTAACATAGATTCAGGTTCAGGTTAAGTACTATAATAAAATAACCATCTGATTTTAATTAAGTATAAAATAAAGGGCTATTTTAGTTTAATATAAATGAGACAAATTTGAAGCTATTCAACAAAAAACCTAAGAACTAGTAATTTTAAATTGCCACTAACCTAGAAAAAGGTTTCATAAACATACAAGATTAAGAGCTCATACATTTCATTTACCTGAATTGTTTTAATCTTTTTTTTTTTTTTTTTTTACGATTTTGTTTATTAGAGAGAGGGAGATTGAGAGAACGAGTGGGAGGAGGGGCAGAAGGAGAAGCAGACTCCTTGTGGAGTAGGGGGCCCCACGTGGGGCTTGATCCCAGGACCCTGGGATCATGAACTGAGCTGAAGGCAGACACTTAACCAACTTGAGCCACCCAGGCACCCTTAAAGAGTTATTTTGTTTGTTTATTTAGAGAGGGCATGCGCATGTAAGCAGGGGGAGGTAGAGGGACAAGTGGACTCTGCACTGAGTGTGGAGCTTGAGCTCACAACCCTGAGATCATGACCTGAGCTGAAATCGAGTCCAATGCCCAACCAATTGAGCCACCCAGGCAGCCTGAATTGTTCTAATCTTTTTAAAATGTAGTTTACCTCCTTAAATGCCACTAGATCTTCTGAGTAATTTTACTACAAAAAGATGAAAAAACATGTACCTAATTCCTTGTAAATACTCATACAGTATACCTCGTAATATAGAAGTATTTTCATCTATTCCAGTAAATTTTAGCACAATTTCACTGTCATTCTGGATGACTATTTCTTTAATATGACTAATTCTTCAAAACTGAACCTCCCCCACCCACCACCCATCTTAAATCCAGGGTATAAAAGGTTGACCTCTATATTGGAAATGAAGTTTGTCATTATCTTGACTTTGGAAGCATTTATGTTTTTAGTTGGAGCTGAGTTTGCATTTAAACCAAGACCATACATCACCACCAATTAAAAGACAATAGAAAAGTTTAGGATACTTAACATGTATTCAAAGAATGCTGCATTAGTTTTGCCACTAATTTGCTATGTTGTTTGGATTAAACTCTGAGCCTCAGTTTCATTCTCTTTTAAGATGAGGGAGAGTGGGGCACCTGGGTGGCTCAGTCAGTTAGGCATCTGCCTTTAGCTCAGGTCATCATCCCAGGGTCCTTGGATGGAGTCTTGAGTCAGGCTCCCTGCTCCACAGGGAGTCTCCTTCTCCTTCTCCCTCTGCCTGCTGCTCCCCCTGCTTGTGCTCTACAGCCCCCTCTGTCAAATAAATAAATAAAATCTTTTTTAAAAAAGGGTGGGGAGAGAAGGAAAGGGGGATGGATAGCTGTTATGTACCTAAGGAATCTTTCAGTAAAATTCTGTGATTGTACATAGAGAAAAGGAGATTGCCTGTGTGTGAACTGGAAAGGAAAAAAACTAGAACAAAAAATTTTACATAAGCTCAAGTGCCAGCCTTGTATTTCACATCAAGATATAATAGAAATTTAGTGAATCAGATAGATTTCATTGTGTTTTTCTCTCACAGGATGAAATCTTTGATATGGTTAAACCAAAGGATCCTTTGAAAATCTCTCTTCAGGATTTAATCAACAGTAATCAAGGAGACACAGTCACCACCATTCTAATCGACCTGAATGGCTTCTGGACTTATGAGAACAGAGAAGCTCTTGTTGCAAATGACAATGAAAACTCTGCAGACCTTGACGATACATGATCTCTCAAAGACGAGACTGTGTTCATTAAGATAAGCTTGAATGCTGCACACAAAACCTTTCAAGCACAATCCTTAGAAATGGCCTAAATAAAACACTTTATATGCCTATAGAACACAACAAATGTTCTGGTTATTGGAATTTTGGTTGCAGTAGTTTGGAAACAATAGGACCAAATACGGTTTTAGGACGTATTAAATTCTTGTTGCACTTAGCTCAAATATAGCAAGTGTGATTTGATAAAGGTAGGAATCCACTTTAAATATGTATAATCTTTAGATATAAAGGAAGTTATCATGGGATATTTCTGACATTAGACATTAAGACATTAAATATTTGAGGGATAGTTTATATGTGGTCATTTAACCTCAAGTCTTCTAAAAGTATTCCCTGTATCAGAGATTATAAACTTCCCATTCATTAGAATAGAGCCATTTCATTTCTGGGTTAGTAGTGTTTGGAGATGATATCTCTTTTTATAAGATATTTCAGTAAAAAGTATTCAAGTTACTCTTTCACTTTAATTAAAATCACTGGTATAAAATAATCTGTCTAGCTTTATTAACCAGTACCAGGGTCACATTTTATAAAACTCAACCCCATTTTGTTAAGGATTTTTGTTAGAGAATTTGTTAATTCAGTGTAAAGGTTCTCAATTATACTGTTGTTTCATTTTTTTTATGAGAAGAAAGATTAGAAGAGGGTAAAATAATCATGAACTATGATCCAGGGGGGGAATAGTAAATATAAAAGAAGGGTCAAAAGGGAAGGAAAAGTAAAAGAGGCTTAAAAATAAGACAAAACCATTTAATCGATTTCTGGGAAATTTTATAGTTTGCATAAATATAAAGATTTAATAAGGCACAGTGAATAACTATATAAACATTACAAACTGGCCACTGTTGGACAATTAAGAGAAAAGTGAAATTTAAGAAACAAAACTTTCATAATCTTCCTTCTACAAGCAGAAAGGTTCTAGGTAAACTTTCAGATCTAGTGCCTCTAGGGAAAAGATCATTATTAGATATGCATGCCTTCACTGGATAACCCAATAAATACTTGAGATGGAGGTCCTATCTCGAAGTTAAAAACAAATTAGAGGGAAGAGGTCAAGTTAGCATGTTTTAGAGCTTCTGGTAAACTATAATTTATGGTAACATTAATTACATGATCTGAAGCTTAATCCTTTACTAAATTAAAGAATTTACAGCCATGACCAAAAAAATTACCATCACATACCATGCATGAACTACCATACCACAGATCCATATAACTGAAGATTCCAAGTGAAAAATTATCTTTCCTAAATCTTTCAGATTTCAGTTGAAGAACTTAGTGGCCAGATGTTCATGTTCACTGATAACAGATTTCTGTAATAGGACCACTGTACCTTTGTTCGAGGAGTTTCTTTGAAGCTACATTTTATATAAAAATATTTAAGATTGACAGTTTAATGCTGCTTAGAACCACCATTAATCTCTGAAAGCTCTTAAGTCTGTGAATAGGCTTTTAAGAGCAGCATTTCGAAATACTCCACACAAGAATTCTTCCTTACCCACATTTAGTTATAAATCAAAATCATACAGATCTCTCATAAGATTATGAGCGCATATTTAGGAATATTTTCAAACTTAGTTTCATATTATACTTAAGTAAGTGTTGCCAGTACCACAGTGGGCTCTAGAGAGCTGACCACACCTGACCTATCCACTCTACTGTTGTTAACTTCAAAGAAGAGAATGATTGGTGACTTCACTATGCTACTGTGGCACTTGGTACAATATTAACAGTAGCCCCTGAAGGGTCAAGTCTTCATCTGTCCCTCACCCTACCATCCTCCCTCCAACTACTTGGCCCACAGGAAACACTCAGGGTCCACTGAGTCACAAAACCAAGATGCCATGTGGATAATCACTGGATGTTACCACTTGAATACAAATACATTAATAAATACATCTCGTAACTAGTGTTTTTAACGTAATGTTCAAAGTTAGTTATTTAATTTGAATAACTGCTGAAAAAGAATGTAAGATTAAGTAACCTGCATCAAAAAATGGAAACCCATCTTAGAACTGGTGTTACAAACTCACTCACCTTTTCATAAAATATTCTCAAGGAAAGAAAAATCAAAGTGCTTTTGTCTTGCTCCTTTTATTACACACTCAGTGAACCATCCTTAGTATGAAATTAATGGTTAGATTTATAAATGTAAGACAACATGAGAAAATCTAGGGGGGGAGGAATCCTTATTTCAGTCTGAGACTAGAAAGATCAGCTCCAGTTAGTAATTTAAGTATTTTTTTTCTTACAAACACCAATAACAGACAAGCTTGATAATTTAACACGTAATTGGCAATTAGGGCTCTAGAATGTCCTTAATTTCTTTAAAGAACATTTTAAAGCCAAAGCCCTAATGTGACACACAGAAAAAGCGTAGTATAAATGATCAAATTTCAGATCTGGCTTTTGCTAGATAGAGCCTAAGAATGAAGAAACATTTTTCCCTTTCCAGATAATAATTTAAAATATACATAATTGTATTAAGTCCCACTGAATAAAGAATGTGAAAGTTCCTGATATTATAAAAACCCTAGAGTTTGAAGTCTGATAGTCATTCTATGGTGGGACAGAAACTGGATTTTGTTTGCTTTCCATAATTACTTCACAGTCTCCCTCCATTTCAAAATTGAGATTGACAAATGAACTGGATGCCACTGTTTCTGGCTGATCCCTCTGGACTATGGAATCAGCCTGCAGTTTATTCTGCTGGTATTGTCTTTCTGCTTCTTCAGGCATTCTGTTTTCTTCTTCTTCTTCTTCTTCCTAAAAAGAGGAAATAATCAAGAATAGATGAAATATAAATGCCTAAAAAGAATAGTATTTGTTCCCCACTTTCAACTGCTTGTGCCTTTTTTTAAAAACTAAAACAATAGTGACATGTCCAATTCAGTCTCATCTAATTAAGCCAAGACATACCTCCTTGTCCTGTGTTCCCAAACTGAAATGGGAACTATCATATGTCATTTTAAGGAAAGGGAAGTCATTTTTAAGTATGGTACAGCACTGCTTAGATGGGTCCTGAATTAACTTTGACAGAGGCTATATCTTTCAGATAAATTCTAATCTAAATAAAAAATAGCTAAACACTGCATCACTTCAATTACAGGGTATCAGCCTATTCAGTGGAATGGGGTGGTCCAGTCACCAAATGGTATAACATGGTTAATGTTCCCCAAAGCAGCTAGTATACAGATAATTTCTAGGTCCAGAACTTCTAAATTCTTGGAGGAAGTGAGCATTGTATTGGTCAATGCTGTATGGGTACTCAGTACAGAGTAGGTAACCAGTCAAGATTAATATAGAGCTTGCTTGAGAGAACACAAGAAAGAGAGACACTGGGGAGTCTATTACAATAGTCCAGATGAGGTATTGAGGCTCTAAACATGGCTGGAAGTGTTAAAAACACTCATTTGTTCATAAAAGGAGTTTTGAAACCATATAACAAATATAAAGTCAGCTGTCTTTTCCAGATGCATGGCCAGCCACTTCCCCAGTGCACTCTGCTCCAGTGATAAAGGACTATTCCCGCCACTTCTCCAAATACACAACTTATCCTCATGCCTCTACATTCTCACTTTAGCTGAATTCCCCTCCCCATTTGCTCGAAGAATAATATAAGATTCTAATATTTATTTTGTGTTCACCAATATACACTGGGTGCTGCTCTAAGCATTTTACATATCAACTCATTTTATCCTTAGAGCCACCCTGAACACAGATGCCCCAATTTTCCTCATTATAAAGATGAAGAAACTGAGGCTTACAAAAGTTAAGTATCTTGCACCGACGGTTTTCAAAGTTAGAAATGGGGCAGTCAGAATTTGAATTCAAACCCTTTGGTTCTTCAGCCTATGCTCTTAGGAGCTAAACTTTTTTCAAGGCTAAACTCATTTCACCCCGACCCTAAAACCTCACTACATTTGCAGACAAATTGCCTCACCTCTTTGTTCCTTAACACCTGGCACTTACACATTTCTAGTACTTGTAATTTTCCATGCTTCAAATCCTCCACTTCTCCTATATCCAGTCTATAGGTTCTAAGTACAGAGACTGTCTAATTTCCTCATCTGAAAACTGTAATAATAATCCAAAGAGAGATGTATGAAGATTAAATAAGATCATATATAAGGCACCTCACATAACACCTAGCCCAATGAAATCCAGCTTAGTCTCACACCAAGATCCTAGGGAAATTTCAGTTTATAAACATATAAATTAAAAACATCTAACTTGATTAATTAGTAACCCTACAATGAAATGCCTACCCTAAGGGAGCTCTCTCTTTTGGGCGGCTAGAGAGGATATATATGCTCATTACACAACCCATTAAGTCCATAGTAAATCAAACTGAAGCAAAAAAAATGTAAAAAGGAGACACACCTCCTTCTTCATCCGGTAATACTCATCAATGGCATATTGGTACTTTGGGGTGCTGATGCCCAAAACAGATGCAATCTTCTCTCCAAGAAAGTCACACACTGAAGATACAAAAGTTAAATGGCAAAAACCAAACAAACACAAAAACGCAAAAGTTAAATGGCTTATATAATTCCATAAACATTTCTTGAGTACGTTCTATGTGCAAGGCACTCTAAGAATACAAAAGTTATATCCCTGCTCTCAGGGAGATTATGAACACTCAGTGCATCTCTTCTGTGTATCTTCCTCGATTTCCTCAAGAGGCACTAGTAGCTCCTTCTGGGTTCCCAACAACACTCTGCTCATATCTCTAATTATACATGTATCACCATGTATTATAATTATCTATTACATGTCTACTTTTTCAAGAAAAAACAGACTTAAAGAGTTGGGGCATCATTAGACTCTAAGGGAGGAATGGCTTGCACTGTAACATTCCCTGAGGGCCTGCCACATGCCAGGCACTGTGAAAGGTTAGACTCAGAGGGGCTGACGAAGCAGATTCGAAAGGTAATCCAGGTCTGAAAGTGAAGATTTTCCTTACACCACACTACCTAGTAATATTGAGTGCTCAGTAAATGTTTCTTGAATGAATTACTATTCAAAATTACCTATAATAAAAAGCAGAAAATGATAAGCTATTGCAGAGTTGAAATTGAAAATAGAGGAAAGCTTTATAATTTAAAACCTATATTTAAAATTAGCATGATTAGGGGCGCCTGGGTGGCTCAGTGGGTTAAAGCCTCTGCCTTCGGCTCAGGTCATGATCCCAGGGTCCTGGGATCGAGCCCCACATCGGGCTCTCTGCTCGGCAGGGAGCCTGCTTCCTCCTCTCTCTCTCTGCCTGCCTCTCTGCCTATTTGTGATCTCTGTCTGTCAAATAAATAAAAAAATAAAATCTTTAAAAAATAAAATAAAATAAAATAAAATAAAATTAGCATGATTAACTCATATGTTGATAGTTCCTTTCCTTCAATGACTTAGTTGTAGCTCAACTTAAGATATGAGGTATTAATGAAATTAAAAATAAATGAATTGTATAATACAGGCTCTAGAATAGTCAAACAGACTAAGAACAGTATCAGTACAAAACCATGTAACAAAATAGCAAAATAGTTGCTAACACAGAAGGTCCAGAAACATAAAAATTAATTTAAAATAAATTAATAAAGCCATTTTTCAGTTCTCTAAAAAAACCCCACCATTTGAAAGTGAAGAATGTTTTGAAGTGAAGTACAAGTTAGATTAATATCCAATGCTAGCTAGCTGCTGAGAACAGAGTGATTAACCCCTAATGTTTCTCCTTCACTTTGGAAACACCCCATTTGGTAAAGTTCTTGTTCTTGCAGCATATTATAACAGTTATACAATATTCAAACAGAAAAGTAATACCTGAGAGGGTTGATGTGGCAGCTCGGAGCATGTAAAACCATAAGTAGGGGCCCCAGGTGAGTTTTGTCTGCAACGAGAAGTCAGGTTAGCAACATTCATACCTAAACCCATTGGGTATATTTAGGCCAGAATGAAACAATCAAGTATTTGGCTGGCGCATAGAATATTCTATAGATAGTACTACAGACTACAATCCAATTAAAAATTTAGAAGCTTTAGAGACAGCATTCCACAAAGACTTTTTATATTTACCCATATAACTATAATATTTACCCTAAGTCTGTGGAATAACCAAAGAAAGCAGCAGCAACTAAAATGGAGTTGGTATGAATTGACAATCTACAGCCTCTTCTCCTGTCTTGCTGCTTTTTTGTCTTCATTGTTCATAAGCACAATATCACAGAGAGTATGCAATAAATAGAAAGGAACCTTAAGAAATCATACAATACACCATACTTATAGTACAGCGAGGAAATTAAGATTCAGAGAAAGTAAGCAGGATAAGTAAGAGCACATCAAATGAACTTTCAATGATGGGAAAACAAGTGACCAGTAAATGGCAAGGTGAGTATTTTGCTTCTTTAAGGATTAAGAAGGGCCTGGGGCGTTTGGGTGCGTTCGCCCTGGGCTCAGGTCATGATCCCAAAACTCCTGGGATGAAGTCCCACATCGGGCTCCTTGCTCAGCAGGGAGCCTGCTTCTCCCTCTGCCTCTGCCTGCTACTGCTTGTGCTCACTCTGACAAATAAATAAATAAAATCTTAAAAAGGATTAAGAAGGGCCTAGACTATATACCCCAAGACAAACTCCGTGTGCATTTAGTAAAGCAGGACAAATGGCAGAAGGCAATCTACACTGCACAACTCCACTATTAATCTTGGTGCTGTCATTGCCATAGAACACTTCTGTGAAGCTTGCCACACAGACAACAGTTTGCTTCTGTGGATGAAATCAGTAATAAAAGCATGCTTCATTGTACTAATATTTCTGTTTACCAAAATATAATATAGATCAATCAAATAATATTAATAGTATTATTATTTTAATATTGTTTCCAGGAAGGAGAAAAATGATGAAATTATACATAATATTCTTAGCTAAGATATACATTCATGATTATAAGGTATTAAAACAGAAAACACAAGAATATCTGTAAGACTGGGTAGATGGACTAAAGAGAAAAGGGGGAAACACACAACAGTCTTCCCATGAAAAGCAAGTACGCTGACTTCTGTGATAGTATTCTTGAAAAGAAACGGAAGTGAGTTAGCTCTTTTATCTCTATCTACATAAGAATGAGTGTCCAAGTAAACAAATACCTTCAACTAAGAAAATACTGTATATTTATGACTCTCTCAATCAAATCCACTGTATCTTCTATATTCAAAGCTGGAAGCATCTCTCTTATGTGGGGATAAGGGTTATTTTAGGGATTCTGTTTAAGATGTTCTCATCTAGGGCAGGGCAAAGAGGGTCATCATCTCTGCTCCTTCTGCTGACGCTCCCATGTTCATGATGGGTGTGAACCATGAGAAGTATGACAACTCCCTCAAGATTGTCAGCAATGCCTCCTGTACCACCAACTACTTGGCTTCTTTGGCCAAGGTCATCCATGACAACTTCGGCATCGTGGAGGGACTCATGACCACCATCCATGCCACCACCACCCAGAAGACCATGGAGAGCCCCTCTGGGAAGCTGTGGCGTGACAGCCAAGGGGCTGCCCAGAACATCATCCCTGCTTCCACTGGTGCGGCCAAGGCTGTAGGCAAGGTCATCCCTGAGGTGAATGGAAAGCTCACCGGCATGGCCTTCCACATCCCCACGCCCAACATGTTGGTCGTGGATCTGACCTGCCGCCTGGAGAAAGGTGCCAAATACGATGACATCAAGAAGGTATTGAAGCAGGCATCAGAGGCCCCCCTCAAGGGCATCCTGGGGTACACTGAGGACCAGTTTGTCTCCTGCGACTTTAACAGTGACACCCATTCTTCCACCTTCGATGCAGGGGCTGGCATTGCTCTCAACGACCACTTTGTCAAGCTCATTTCCTGGTATGACAATGAATTTGGCTAGAGCAACCAGGTGGTGGACCTTATGGTCTACATGGCCTCCAAGGAGTAAGAGGCCCTTGGACCACCAGCCCCAGCCAGAGCAAGAAGAAGAGAGAGGCCCTCAGCTGCTGGGGAATCCCTGCCCCAATTTATCCCCCAAAACACTGAGAATCTCCCAACCTCCACTGTTTCCATCCCAGACCCCCTGAAGAAGGGGAGGGGCTTGGGGAACCCTACCTTGTCATGTACCATCAATAAAGTATACAGTACCCAGCCAAAAAAAAAGCTCTCGTCTTGGTGTTTACCTTACGGTTTTTATAGCAAACAGGACAGTGCAGTAATATAGGGAATGGAACCAGTTTCTGTAACACATGATAATGGCAGGGCCAATAAACTACTTAGAAAAGGATTAAGCAGGCTTTTGAAGGAAAGCATATATTTCTCAGTGGACCAATTCTCCTGGAGTTGTTTCTAGAGAGAACAATTGCTGATATCCATGCAGTGACTACCAAAGAGTCAAACCTGCTCCAGAGCTGAGGAACTGGTTAAGGATCCCTGAATAACATCTATCATTATCACACACAATTACACAGAATGAATGCATGGGGCTCTTTGTTTAGACACTGATCTTACTGAATTGAAAGGACAGATGACTCAAGAGCCTACACTGGAACCTTGCCACCACTGCCAGCATCACCACCACGCCACTACCCCAGTAACAAGAGAAATGGGCCAGATCTTGGTCTTCAAGACTTCCAGTTTATGGTGCAAACTTAAGCTGATTCATTTTTTCTCCAAAAACTTAAGTATCTATCCCTACCTGAATAACTGAGTATCCACCCCTTCCTTAATAAGAACTATTCAGACTTGCTATCTTTTTTTATTTTTAAACAACTTATTTTTTTTTTTTAAGATTTATTTATTTATTGGGACACCAGGGTGGCTCAGTTGGTTAAGCCGCTGCCTTTGGCCCAGGTCACTCGGTCCCTGGGATCGAGTCCGCATCGGGCTCCTTGCTCGGCAGGGAGCCTGCTTCTCTTGCTGCCTCTGCCTTCCTCTCTGCCTGCTTGTGTGTGCTCTCTCTCTGACAAATAAACAAATAAATAAAATCTTTTTTTTTTTAAGATTTTATTTATTTACTGACAGACAGAGATCACAAGTAGGCAGAGAGGCAGGCAGAGAGAGAGAGGAGGAAGCAGGCTCCCTGCTGATCAGAGAACCCGATGCGGGGCTCGATCCCAGGACCCTGAGATCATGACCTGAGCTGCAGGCAGAGGCTTTAACCCACTGAGCCACCCAGAAACCCCTAAACAACTTATTTTTAAATTACAAAAGTAATGCTTATTTTTTGTGGAACACTCAAGAAAATGGAGCAAAGTATAAGGAAAATAAAAGTCACCCATTTTTCTATCACCTGTAGATAATTATCACTAATATTTGAATATATTTTCCAAGTCTTTTCCTAAGCATGTATGTTTTTACAATACTGCTATATTTTCTCTACCCTGCTGTTTTCCCCCATTATAATACTTGTATTTAACCAAAAGGACTGAAATCAGGACCTCCAAGAGATATTTCCACTTCCTTCTTCACTGTAGCATTACTCATAACAGCCAAGATGTAGAAGCAACCTAAATGTCCACTGATGAATGAATGGATAAAGAAAATGTGGGAATACATATAATGGAAAATGCAGCCTTAAAAAAAAGAAGGAAACAACATAGATGAACCTTGAGGACATTATGTTAATAAAATAAGCCAGTCACAGAAAGAGAAATAGTGAATGACAGAACATCAATCAGCATTTCTGCTCCTGCCCCCAAGCCACCTATTACTGAGACTGTTTCAGGTGAGTGCAGTTGACAGGTGTGGACTCCCTCCTTCTTCTGTCAGCTCCCGTTGATGGAATGGTAGAGCCAGTGAGAACCCTAGGGCACTGACAGTCTCTGTTCATGAAGCAGCAAAAAACCCCCAAAAAGATCTAAGGCTACTGCTCCCCACCTCTACCAGCACTCAGCTCCTAAACCAGGGCTGTCACTCAGGAATGCAACACTGTGCCTACCCCCAACTTCAGAGCTCTGGCTAAGAGATTTTGCCCAGGAGGAAAAGTAAGCCATAAAACAGCTCCTAATCTGTTCTCAAATGAACTGACTTCATTTGCAACAGAGCTGCAACCAAGGCCAAAGGGTGCTCTCAAAATCAGCGGAGACTGTGTTAAGAGGTAATTGAGAGGAAGTTCTTAGATTCCCTGAAGATGCAGGCTAAACTAAAGGCCAGCTAGTTTGTAGCAGAGAAGAGGAGGTGGGGAGGAGACAGACTTCACTAAAATAATCCAGCAGTCACTAAACAAACAAACAAAAAAAACCAAAACACAAAAAAACAAGCAAAGAACAAGGGGGTGGGGTGGAGAGGGTAAGGGCAGTATTGAGAGTTGTTGTAATATATTGTCTAAAATGTACAAAAAAATTAAGAGACATACAAAGAAACAGAAGTATGCTATACACAGGAGGAAAAGCAGGCAATAGAATCTACACATGAGTGACTAGATGCTGAATTTAAAAGAAAAAAATGTCAAAGCAACTTTTATAAGTATGTTCAAAAAACTAAGTAAACCATAATTAAAGAAATAAAGTATAACAATGTTGCACTGAATGGAGAATATTAAGAGATAAAAATTATTAATGGAGAGGCACCTGGGTGGCTCAATTAAGCATCTGACTCCTGATTTTGGCTCAGGTTCCTGAGATGGAGAGCCCCAGGTTGTAGGGCTCCACTCAGCAGGGAGTCTGTTTATTTCACACTTCCTCTCCCTCTACTCCTACCCCCATGCTCACATTCTCTCTCTCCCTAAAATAAATAAATAAATAAATCTTTAAAAAATTATTAACAAGAACCAGATGGAAACTTTGGAGTTGAAAATTGCAATAAATGAAATGAAAAATTCAGTAGAAGGGGCTTAATAGAACAAAAACACAAAAATGAAGGGAACAGACAACTCAACAATAACAGGTGGAGACTTTGACCGCCCATTTTCAATAACAAACAGGACAACCAGGCAGATCAACAAGGAGACTTGAAAAACACTATAAGCCAACCAGACCTAACAGACACCTACAGAATACGTGACCTAACAATAGAACCTACATTCTCCTCAAGTATAAACAGAACATTCTCCAAGACAGACCACATGCTAGGCCATAAAACAAACTTCGATTTAAAAGGAGAAATAATACAAGTATCTTCTTCAACCACATGGGGTGAAATTAGAAATCAAGAATGGGGCATCCAGGTGGCTCAGCTGGTTAAGTGTCCAACTCAGCTCAGGTCTTGACCTCAGGGTTATGAGTTCAAGCCCCACACTGGGCTCCACGCTGGGTATGGAGCCTACTAAAAACAAGAAAAAACAATCAAGAACAGAAAACATAATGTGAAAACTTAACAAATATATGGGAAGTAAATAACATACTCTTAAATAACCAATAGATCAAAGAAAATACTTTGAGATGAATGAAAATGAAGGTGTAACATACAAAACGTATGAGATGTACCTAAAGCAGTTCTTAAAGGGAAATTCACAGCTAATTAAAGAAAAAAGATAACCTTCCACCTTAAAACACGGGAAAAAATAAAGCAAACTAGACCTAAAACAAGCAAAAGGAAGGAAATAAAGACTAGTGTGAAAACTAATGAAATGGAGAAAGAAACAAGAGAAAAAAACCAGTGAAACCAAAAGCTGGTTCTTGGAAAAGATCAACAAAATTGGCAAACCTTTTGCTAAAGTAAACTGACCCAAGAGAAAAGAAGGAAAACCCAAATAATTAGAATCAGAAAAGAAAAAACAAAAAGGACTATAAAGGAATACTATGAACAACTACGTGACAACAAATTTGACAGCATATGAAATAAACAAAACTACCAAAATGGACTTAGAAATAAGACAATTTAGGAATCAAAAAACCATACACAATGAAAAGCCTAAGCTGCTTCACAGGTAAGGTCTACCAAACATTTAAATAAGAATTAATACCAATTCTTCACAAAATCTCCCCAAAGAACCAACCAACAAAAAACCCAGAAGAGGAAGGAACAGTTCCCAACTCATTTTATGAAGCTAGTATTACTCTGGAACCAAAACCAGACAAAGACATCACAAGAAAATTATAGACCTATATTTTTTTATGAGTATGGGTGCAAAAATTCCCAATAATTACTAGCAAACTAAATCCAGCAACATATAAAAAGAACTATATACCATGACCAAGTGGGTTTTATCCTAGGAATATAAGGCTAGTTTTGCAGCCAAAAATCAATCAATGTCGCCATTATCAACAGAATAAAGAACAAGAAAGTTCTTCAAATGTTTAAATATAGTTAGCATATGACCTGGCAATTCCACTCATAGGTACATAGCAAAGAGAAATTAAAAACTGTATCTAAATGTTCACACCAGCATTACTCATAGTAGCCAAAACGTAGAAATAGCCCAAAAATCCATATACTGACAAATGTGGTATCTCAAAAAAAGGAATGAAATTCTGACATATGCTATAACATGTATGAACGTTGAAAACATGCTAAATCAGGGGCGCCTGGGTGGCTCAGTGGGTTAAGCCGCTGCCTTCGGCTCGGGTCATGATCTCAGAGTCCTGGGATCGAGCCCCGCATCGGGCTCTCTGCTCTCTAGGGGAGCCTGCTTCCTCCTCTCTCTCTGCCTGCCTCTCTGCCTGCTTGTGATCTCTCTGTCAAATAAATAAATAAAATCTTTAAAAAAAAAAAAAAAAAAAAGAAAACATGCTAAATCAAAGAAGGCAGTTACACAAGATCACTGTTATGTGATTTCATTCTATGAAATGTCCATAATAGGAAAATCTGTAGAAAGAAAGTAGATGATGATTATTAGGAGTTGGGGAGATGAAGGATAATGTACAATAACTAAAGGGTACTGAGTTTCTTTTTGAGGTGATGCAAATGTACTAAAACTGACTGTGGTAATGGTTGTGCACATCTATGAATACACTAAAA